CCATCACTAAGGTTAGATGACCCGGATTGTCAACCCGGGGTGGATGATCCTCTCTACTCCATAAAATGGGTTGCTCAGACCAGCGCAAATACTGAGGCACCGTCGGTTCAACAGAGTTCACAGCCCTCTTGTGAAGCTTCTGATCATGCTTGCACAAGCTAGTGGTGAAGACATGATACTGCCCACTATTTAACTGATTTGGATTGCTCTGATAACCCGACTGCTGCTGCTGCTGGTTCCCTTGATGGTTGTAACCTCCCTGGTTGCCCTGGTTCCCTTGGTTGATATGTCCGGTTTGATTGCCCTGAAATCCTAAACCAGAGTTGCCGCCTCCGTAACCCGGCCCGTGAAAACCACCTCCTGAACCGCCAGGCGGGCCATTGTCATACTGAAACATATTGGAATTCTTGAATTCTCGCATGATATAACAATCCTTCCAAAGATGTGACGTTGGCTTCTCCTTTGATCCATGCTTTGGACAAGATTGATTTAACAGGCGCTCCAGATTGGGTCCTGAACCTCCGCCCCTCTAGGGCTGCTTGCCCTTACGGCACTGACCGTTATCCTGAGCATTGGTGTTAACCACAAAGTCCAAACTATTGTCGGCCTTGCGTTTACCATTATTCCCATGACCCGGCAGGTTATGCTGTCGCCCCTTGGTGTTGCCGTATTTCTTTCCCTTCCCTAGTTTATCCTCCTCTGAGTCAGGGTCTTTGGTATTATCTGAATCGGCATACTTAACCAAAGCGCCATAAGCGTTGACATATCATTGCAGTGACGTTTGAGCCTTCCTAACTTCTGTTTGAGCGGCAGAAACCGGCAATTGCCCTCCAACGTTAACACTGCAGTATCCGCATTGATGCGATCCGATGAATGCAGAATAGCTGAGACCCGCTTCACCCAATGGGTTGTAGACTCCCCATCCTCTTGGACACAAGCAGCTAGGTCTACAATTGACATCGGCTGCTTACAGGTATCCTTAAAATTCTGGATAAACCGGTGCTTCAACTCGGCCCATGATCCGACAGAGTTAGCTGGTAAGCTCTTCAACCAAGTATGAGCTGTCCCTTCCAACATCATGATGAAGTATTTAACACACACCGCTTCGTCCACATCTAGCATCTCCATTGCCATCTCATAGCTTTCAACCCATGCCTCTGGTTGCAAATCGGCGGTGTAATTGGGTACCTTACGCAGGCCCTTAAAATCCTTGGGCAGCCGCACATTACGCAAAGCGGGGGTGAGACACGGCACCCCTAAGGAACTGAATACCGTGCCTGGCTCTACTGAAGTGGTAGGGTGAACCGGAGTAGGTTGACGGGCTCCATGCAGAGCTGCTAATTCGGCCTTTCGACGTGCACGACCATGATCCACCACATCCTGCGCATTAGCCCCTCCACCTGCCGGGTTGTGACCTCGCGGCGAATTACGGCGACGTGCACTGCTGGACACGGCCGGTCCATCCTCAACATGCA